ACTATCCCCTTTCCGGCATAGCCGTGTCCCACGGCCCAGCCCTTACTTAACTTGCGTCATCCCTTCTTAAGTGCTTTTGGGTTCTTTGTCAACGATGTCTTCCAAATAATCTACTGAACGGAAAAGACTCATTAGCGAAGTGAGCAACTTTGGATATCCTGTGGAGTATTCTTGCGAAGGCTGTTTTCGTTATCAAGAGCTTTGCGTAATGGTACCAGACCGTTCTCTTCGTTGTGCTGAGTGCATCAAGCAAGGTCGGAAGTGTACGAGTCTGAGTTGGGAGGCCCTTGACCGGACTCGCGAAGAGACTCAGAAGAAGATCGATGCGGATGAAGCGATTCTTGAAGAGGTTATGGCTCGTTTGTTGCGCAACAAGAAGATCATGCGACAAGCCGACAGCAGGGCGAAGGTCAAAGCCTCTCATCTTGACGCTGAGTTGTCCGCGGAGGACGAAGCGCTTGCGGCTGCGGATCCTGCAGATTGTCCTGCTGCTTCGGTGGGCGTTACGGTGTCTCCTACCATCTGGGGCACCTACGGTCTCATCGGAGACGCGATGCGCGTTGGCGAGTCGTCCGTTCCTTCTGCTGGAAGTCCTTCAACAGTAGTCGGCAATTCGTCAGGTTCTTGAGTGGTTCCCAGGTATTTTCGCTGTCCGGGTATCCTTTCCACTTGACGAGGTACCGCTGACCATCTTGTTTTAGTATCTTCTCGACTTCGAAGACGTCGTTTTCATAATTCTCTTGGTGGAAGGTTTTTTGTAATGGCGTTTCTGGGTCAGCTGGTTCTAGCTGAGAGACATGGAATGTCTGGTGTTTTCTGGTGTCGGATGGTAGTGCAACTTGGTAGTTCACTGGTCCTGTTTGTTTGATGATCAAGAAGGGTCCGACCTTGACATGGTCAAGTTTTTTGGATGGTCTCCTTGTGCCAAAGTTTTTTGTAAGCACATAGACTCTATCCCCCTCTTTCAGCTGAGGATTCTTCTTGAATGTGGATTCTTTGCTTTTCACTTTTGATTGCATTTTTGCAATAGATGTTGTCATGTTTTTGTAAGCTTCTTGTAGGTTTCTAGCAATGTCGATGCCCGATACTGCTTCCACACTTGGCAGCTCTGTCTGCCACAGATCTGGGTGCCTTCCGTGGTTCGCCCAGAATAGCGTTTAGTGTGTCGTGGATGACATTTGATTATTAATTGCAAGCTGCGCCATAGGCAGGTATGTTATCCAGTCATCTTGCTGGTAGCTAACAAAATGCCTGAGGTAGGCTTCCAATGTTTGGTTGGATCTCTCAGTCTGTCTATCTGTTTGTGGGTGGAATGCCGTAGACATGGCATGTTTGGTTCCAATCTTGGCAACAAACGTTTTCCAAAGGTTAGATGTGAAGAGCTTGTCTCTGTCTGTCACAATCTTTCTAGGGAATCCGTGAATCCTAAAGACTCTGTCAATCAGCGTAGCTGCAGTTTGTTCTGCCGTGAAGTCTTTTCTGTATGGCAGGTAGTGGTTGTACTTCGTCAGCCTGTCGACCACAACTATAATGCTATTGTAGCATCTTCCGCTTGCTGTGTCTTCTGATTCTAGTAAGTCTGTAATGAAGTCCATCGTGATTTCTTGCTACGGCTGTTCTGGCGGCTTTGAGAATTGTACTGTGCTATATGCTGCGTGTCTTTCATTCTTGTTCTGTTTG